CAGGACAATCCGGTGAGCCTGGATTCCCAGGATCTCCAGTAAGAGCACAATTATATAAGTTTTAGCAAAATAATCCTATGTCATCATATGATGGTTCCTTATTGCTTCATCCTGATGTGACTCATTAGTATTGCTTTTAGTTATGAATGCAAAGTTCTGCCATTCAGTATCTGAAGGCCTTGTCTTACCTTACTGCTGGGCTCCAGATCAGTGTTTGCTTTGTTGCTGAAAGGACAGCTGTTGTTATCTGAGATTTCTGTTCTGGATTCATATCACCAATATTCTGACACAAGGCACTTATCTCCCTTCTGTTAGCCCTTCCAGAGAAACTTGGTAGGAAGCTAAGTGCGAGAGAGCTTTGGTTGAATTGCTAAATGTGTTTTGGTAGCAGTTGTTTATCATGTTTCTGGACTGACATATTCTGAAAGAACGAGGCAGTTTGCAGGTCTGAGTTTCATTTTAAGTGATTGCTCTGAATTTTGATCTCAGCTTAATTAATATTTGTCCATATTAACTGTCAAAACTTGGCCTGCCACTTCATTACTTTTGTTGAAATTTGAAGCTTGATCACACAACAATATAAATGATAAAGCTTTTAATGTCAATGAAAATATGTATAATGCTGAGAATCAAGGCTGTGAGCTTGAATCTGTGAGCTGCTCAGATGCTGTTCCTCACTATGATGAAGGTGAAGGAGTGTTAACAATAGCAGTATTGCTGCTGCCCTCATCCCTGTTAGTACCAGTATTGCTGGGTTTATCTGCAGAATCAGGATTGTATTTGTTTTTTCTCTTCCTTCCTAGGGCCCTCGAGGCTTTCCTGGTGCTCCTGGTCTGCCAGGTCTCAAGGGTCACCGGGTAAGAGACAAGGTTTTCCCTCTGATAGAGATGATATTTCCTGGCAGTTTCAGAATGGAGATTTTTTTTTTGTATCTGCAGAATTTGCCTACACTACAGACAAGGCAGCTGTAGCAGAATTATTGGCATTGAGAGAAAGAGGGCCTTGCAGAAAATCAGTGCTATTCCCCTTTAAGCTGACCTCTGTATTACATGCTCCAGTACTTTCTTCACTCTATTTTCAAATGTTCTGGGAATCTGGAAGGAGCTTGCATGAGCCCTGCCAGGCTTCAGGAGGCGCAAACCTGACAGTTCTCTCACTTTGTTGGCAAGTCTTGCATTAGGGTGGGGAACTTGAGAGGTGGATATGTTTGCAACACGGAGTGATTACAAATTACCAAGTTTTCTGGCCAGAATTTTACTTCAGGGAGGAATAAATTGGTTTCCTATGGCTCAGTGCCTCCTTCTTGTTGTTTCAGGATTTTTTAAAAAAACTTTCTTGTTTGAAAAAGGAAACCAAATCCAAGGAAATGTACCTTGTACAAATGGTTTCCATTTAGGAAATGTTTAAAAACTTCATTCCATCTGGGGTTTTTTTTGTTTTCTTTTCTTTTCTTACTCTTACCACCTTAGATCCATTCTTAGTACTTTAATATCAAGTTACTTTACAATCATAGTAGGAGTGCTCTCTGTGTGTACATATATGAATACAATTCCTTTGTATTTTCATAACTTACAGGGATTGAAAGGACTTGACGGTCCAAAAGGTGAAATTGGAGCAGCTGGAGCAAAGGTATTTTTATGGCCCAAGCAACTAAATAATTAAGCATGTTTTGTGTAATACCAAAATCCTATAAGGCAGGAGATCTTTTGAGCATAGCTTTGTACCCTCTCTGACCTTTATGTGGGGGACAGAATTCAATAGTAAGGGATCACTGGGTGAGCTGAGTGCTCTATTTGTGACACACGTACTGAAGACAGCAGAGTCTCTTAACAAAGGGCCCATGCACATTTTGCACTTGGACATTCATGGTTCTTGTTAGCTCTATGTGACCAAGTTGAACATTTTTTAATATAATCAAATAAAGCAATGCATAACTAAAACCTGACTCTTCTCTTTCAAATTATGGTAGATTGGCTTAAAAGGAACAGGCATTGGGGAGGATAGGGGGATATATTTTAAGCAAACCAGCTATTTTATCAGTTTAGTCTCTTAGAATTTTTGATCCCCATTGGCATTGCACCACTCTTACCACTTCAGATCAAAGCAGAGGTAACACAGGATACTCATCTGGAGCGAGTTCTTTCAAGATAGGTGTTAAAAGATGTTTTAAAAGAGCATAGTACACTTGTTTCAGGATTTTCCACTTTCATAACTGCTGATGCTGAAATATTTTTGGCCT